TCCTTTAAGATTATATTATTGTCTTGCTTCTAGTATGCATTTCGCATACCTCAGAATATGAAAAAAAAAAGTCATGGTTAATATGTTAGAGCTAGTGGATTTCAATTGGTTTAGTTTATTAATSCTTACATATGTTTAACAAGCATGAAACTATTCCCCACCCAAAAGATCTGCCTTCTGGTCTAACACAGACCAGAAAATACATTTTAGAAACCTTACTTACAAGCTGTTTATCCATCTCATAGCTCCTTCACATACTAAACGTGGAGTAGAAATGATTGGGAGAGGAATTTGGCACTATTGATTTCAAGAAAATGAGTTAATGAATGATTTCAAGGAAACTTATTGAACACCAGCTATGAGAAAATAACAATAAGACCATAAGAACAGAAATTAAAGCCACCACAGGTGTTTGAAAACCAAACTGGAATTGATACAACTGGGTTACAGCTCCTATGGATGTGAGCTGGTTTCACTCCACCTCACCATGCTGCTGATGTCACTAGACACATGCATGGGTCAGGGTGGCAGCCCTCTGCCATGGGAGCTCATTTCACTGACAGAGCAAACAGGAAAGGTAGGAAGCAGGCAAGGTAGTACAATAGAAATATTTAATGTTTTCTGTCAAGATAGACATTTCCATGAAGAGGAGGTGCACTTTTCTTGGTATAGCAACTGTGTTGTCTCCAATCTCATGAAAAACCACAGATTTACAACTGCATTTCCCAGAGGTGAGAGATAATTAAATGTACTGAAAACTAGTGGCAAAACTCTCCCAATTAACCTCCTAGAACTTTGGGCACTGAGCAGCCTTATTTCCAAAATTGCAAATTAGCCATCTACTTAGATGCCTACATTCTGGGGTGCTCAGCAAATTCCAAGATGCCCAAAAACCATGTAGGATACCCATCAGGWTTCACTCAGACTGAGTCTTTGAGCAAACCCCATTGGAGTGGATGGAAAGACACAGTGCTTTGAATCAAATTTATTGACTGCAGAAGCAGCTGCCATTTGAAGCACATGTTAAAATCAGGTCACCATATGTCTCATCATCTAAAAGCTGTATAAGCTTTTAGAAAATGTTKGTTGACAATAATGGTCATACCTGGGCTTTGAGAGTCAGCCTCTTCCCCACAGCCATTCATTTTTGATGTCACTTATTCTCTATATAAGRGTTTGTTAAAGAAGTCCTGAAAGCAAGAACTATGTCACATGGACGGTTTTTATCAAACTTTTTTTCCACATTGGTGGCCTGGACAAGTGTACTATATTCTCCTAGAAACAGATCTGCTGCAAAGAAAGCAGATATCCTGGTTTTGCTCGGTCCAGTTTTTGGTGGTGGGGGAATGGGACCAAGAAACCATAAAGATGGCTCCTGTGAGGAAGTTCTAGAAGCTTTCTCCTTCTTCTCCAGCAAAAGGAGCCCTACCCCCTGTGTTTTAGAGCCAATCCATTGTGGCGCTGAGGTTGATGGACAAGCTGCCCATCAGGCCTGGGCCAACTGCACAGGCTGGTTACACCTCTGTGATGACGTATTGTCTTGTACTTAAGAGGAATTCAAAACAAGACAGGGGCAGACACCATTTAGTTTTTAGGTTGTTAGTTTTTTGTTTTAGTGTCATGCATTGGGGAAAAACAGAGCAGGAGGGTGAGGAGATGTAASAAAAAAATGGAGACCCAAGATCATGGTAAGAAGAAGACATGTGCTGTGCTGTTGCTGTGGTGCTTGAACATGGAGAAARCAAGCTGTTCTCAAAAGGACTATTTTTTCAATGAGAGACCTATATAGAAAAGGAGAGCGACCTCGCTCTGAAGAAAAAACCTGGCCTTTGAAGACTGGACTGAACTGATCAGAAGCCAAAAAAKGGGGAAGAGGCTTGACCCCACCCCTCACGTCTGAAGCGAGTTGATGCTAAGAAGAAATTGTGTTCTGCAGGGGAAGAGGTGCCCCTGCCCCACGTCTGAAGCAAGTGGTTGCCTAGAAGGAGCTGTCAGGAGATTTGTGATAGTGGCCTTATGCTGCCAAAATAATGCAGTCGGCCTTCGAGAACTGTTTTCCTTTTTCCCACGAGGTAAAGAAAAGACTCCCTTGCCACCAGCAGTTACACACTGACTGTTTTTTGGGAAAAGAACTTCCAGAGCTTGGAGCTGGTAAGAACGCTTCTCCTATGACGCTGGACGATAATCGTAATGAGTTGTTTAATCTATGTTAGACTTTTATTCCTGTCCCCTGTGTGTGCGGGAAGGCATGAGGGGGTTGAGGGGGCAACTTGGAAGAGAGCCAGGTTCCCAGAAAGAATAACAGGTGTCTTAAAATGTCCATTTTTTAATTTTCTTCTCCTTGTAAATTTTTCCCTATCTTTGTTCCCCTCCCTAGTGCGGTAGTATTCTTAGTAGTTGTTTTAGTAATAAATCTACTTTGCAACTTAGGTTATTCAGCCTATCTGACCATTTTTTGGAGCACATACGTATCTTACTCTCAATTATGTTATGTTATCTAAAAGCCATAAATGTTAGTGTTAATTGGGCTTTTGCTCTCCCTTCTGCCTCTACGGTGGGGAGAGGGAGGGAGGGAGGGAACATCATGGGTGCAGTGCTTTTGGCTTTCGGTCAAGYTCAAACCACGACATTTTTGGTGCATTGGCCGGGAAAGGGAAAACCRGGTTTAAACCCACAACAGCAGAACTTTGATTTCTTCATTCATTGACTCTTCAATGGTACAAGATGGCAACACATGTGAAAGTGGAAGTCATGCTAATAATAATTTTCCTTTTTCAGTTACCTGAAAAATAAATTACCTTTTTCAGTCCTGAAAGCAATGGGAAACAGATGCCAGACATGTTTCCGTCACCCTCTTCATGGAATCCTTCTTACCATCTCTGCTGTGACAGCCTAACACCAAGCAGCTTCTCCTTTCTATGGTTATTAAAAGTACCATATAAACCTCTTTGTTCCCAAGCTCCCATTACTGAGGGATCTTATTAATATTGTCTCCACACAGCAGGATATTTGTAGTTGTTTCAAGACTCAGGTTTGGTGCCTGGATATCCCTAGTAATCAAGCTGTACAAAATTGTGTTGAATTTCAACAGTTTGGAATCTGAGTGAATTTCATTCAGTGGAGGAATCTTGAGGCTGGTCTCAAGTAGCCAGAACAGTTTGGCTGGCAGAGCTCTCAGAGGAACCAGTTTGCCAAGAAGAATCTCCTCATCCTCCCTGGAAGTACACTTGCTGAGCTGAGATCGCAGGAGACCTGCAGGATAGGCTTTGCTCATGMCTTCTCAGACCAGATGATAAACTCAGAAATTCACCTAAAACWGTTCAACCATTAATGGGCATTCTGTCCAGGGACCAGATTACAGCTTGTCTGAACTAAAGCTGCCCTGAAATGTGCAGGAGATTAAGAATTCTACTAGAATAAACCCCTGCACCTATGCCTCAAGTCAGATTTTGACAAGCCATGGAGAGGAGTGGTCTCCCCTAAATACAAGCATATCTGACTTTCATGTGGCCTACAATAAAGCTAAATATAATGCTGCATACCATCAAGAAGTAAAAGGGACTCTATAGTTCCATGGTAAATCCTAATTCAGTGCTTCAGAAAAACTTTATCATGGCTGTGTGTGATACAACTCTAAATAAAAAGATCTTTTGGTAGATGACTATAGACAGGATTTTTAATGGTTTTTTAAAGCTCTCTATCCCAACCACACTAATTGTAATTGACCAAAAGGCTTTCCAAACAGCAATGCTAAAGTACCATCAAGTTGAGCTGGGAGGTCACATTTTTCAGCAGCTAATTACTGCACTAGGAGGAAAAGAAAAATATATAAAACTCCTCAAAGAAAACTGAAAATATTTATTATATACTTTTACAAGGAATCAATAAAATAATAATTTTCATTAACTTGTACTGCTATGGTTCGAGAAAGCAGATGTGAGAGGAAAGACTCCCATAGTAATCTCAGGATGCATGTTGTGCTCCTCCACGAGTGGCAAATTTTCATAGAAAAATGCGTTCTTCAAAAATTTATTGAAAAAATGCTCACAATTATCACTAGAATGTTTCACAAACTATACCAATATTCCAGCATTTTTCAAATATCGTGGCACATTTCAGCTACAAAAAACATCAACAAAAGTCTGCCATTTCTCAGAAGCAAGCCTGCATGACGCTGTAGCAGCCTCAAAAGCACTCAATACGTATCCCAAAGGCATCGCACGCAGGRCTGTGCAGCGCACAGATGAGATGGGTTGAACCTGAAAGGGAGAAATGTTATTTCTGCTGAGCTGCGGTGCGGTGAAAGTGCGCAGCACTGTCAAAGCCGTAAACTGTTCACAGRGCTCCGAGCAGTCACTGTTACAACGCACAAGAGGGTCAGGTTACGTTAGAGCATCAGYTCCGAGTCTTAAAAAAATAAGAAAATCGCGTTTCAAAGGCAAGATCAATTACATTGGTTAACAAATGCAACTAAAAATCAGTAGCGACCTCCCGCGCTAGGCGGKCGCGTCCTCAAGCCTCCTCCGCTGGACAAAACGCTTCCTACACCAAAACGTGCCATTTCTGTCGAGTTTGCCATTCCCCTTTCACGTTATGGCTAAAACGCCATCGAGGGAAATTTTCACACCGAAGCGCCCTCAACGATTATTCACCGTCTCTTGCCTGGAAGCCGGCGCTCCAGCGGCGCTGGGTGCGCCCGGCGGGGCAGACCCTTGCCCACGGTAGCCCAGGGCTCTCGGTCCCTCTGTGCCCCGCCAGCCGCGGGGCTCCGCCGCCCCCAGCGCTCCCCGACACCTGTTGAGGCGGCGCGGCCTCGGCCCCCGCGCCCTCAGCCCCCCGCGCCCTCAGCCCCCCGCGCCCTCAGCCCCCGCGGCGGGGCGCGGTCCGGCCGGGCGGGCAGAGGGGCGCCCCGAGGCCGCGGCGCTCCGCTCCGCGCATGCGTCTGGCTGTCGGGAATTGTTTCTCCTCGCCGCTCCGCACTAAGTTCCAGTCCGCGGCTCGTCCCCCGTGAGGCGGCGGTCGGGATGGGGGTGGCGGCGAGACGGGCCGGCCCGCGGGCGCTGCTGCTGCCGCTGGCGCTGGCCGTGGCGTGCGCGGCGCGCAGGTGAGCGCCGCCAGGATGCGGACGGCGGGAGGGAGAGAGGCGGGCGCCCGGTCGCTTCCCTAACCCGCTTGTTGTGCTKCTTCCCGCAGCGCCGACGGGCCCAGCAACATGTCCTACGTGAAGGAGACTGTGGACAGGCTGCTCCAAGGCTACGACATCCGCCTCCGCCCCGACTTCGGAGGTGAGGCGCCCGCGCCCCCGCGACCCGCGCCCCGGTCCCCCCAGGTGCTAACGCCGCCTCCCGCTCCCCCCGCAGGTCCGCCCGTGGATGTGGGCATGCGGATAGAGATCGCCAGCATCGACGTGGTCTCAGAAGTCAACATGGTGAGTGACCCTAGAGCCCRTGCGGCGGCTGCCGGAGCCCCGGGGCCCGCGCTGCTACCGGCCCGGGATGCGCGTACCGAGCAGCACCGATCGCTACAAAATAACCAAACACGTCGCAGTTGCTAGGAAAAGTTATTCGCGTTTTTGAGATAATGTTGACAAGCCTGCCGTGGCGCTTCAGATGAGCTCCCTGCCTTGGTCTAAATACTTGATGTAAGTTCGAGGTTCTGGGTCCCGTTTGCCCTGGTTTGGCCTTTGCATAGTCAACAGCTGCCGTCGGAAATGCTTGAGTTTCTTGAGCTGTAGCAGCAGATGTCCAGATGTGCGTGTTAAATTATTTGAAGAGTTCACTTTGCATGCTAGTAACCTTGACTAAAAGGTGTAAAGAGAAAATACAAAGGAGTTTTAGAAAACGCTTTTTCTTGTAAAGKAAAAAGAAATGACACTGTAGAGTAAATACATAAGAATGTTTGCAGCTATCAGAATCAGACGTGTTGTAGCTACAGGTGTGAAACATACTGCATTTGATTTCAGATCTGCAGGAAGGAATGCTAATAGACAAGCAGGCTTAAAACAAAAGTGCGGCTGTTTAATGCCTGCCTCGTTTGACAGCCTCTTCCCAGAAGAAAACAATAAATCAATTGCAAGTTTGAAATTATACAAAATCATGTTGACTTAGCGTCATGGGCATTTTGGTCTCACTCTCTTTTCTTATGTTTGATCTTACATGAAAATCTAAGATGCTTTCTGTACATAGAGGAACACCTGCTTAGTTAAAAGAGGCTTAGAAACCTTCCACTTCCACCTGATCAGCAGTTGATTTCACTGGGTGATATTTGCCCATTCGAAGTAATTTACCAAGAGTGGGGAGTTTTTGTTATATTAGTTAACAGTTGTCATTAAAACAGTCTCTTCATAGATTTTTTTCATTTTCATACTTAGTATTTTTCTGTTGTTTATTATATAGCTTCTGTTTGTGTGTAACTGTTACATTTGCTTATGAGTATGCATAGTAGAGTGGGGAGGAAACAAAATTTGTCAGGTTGTGTGTAGCATACCAAGCTCTGCAGACTGCTAATGCCACATAAAGATAGTATTTTGCAAGTTTCAGCTCCTGGTGTTCCTGTTGCTGTATTGTACTTTCAGGGAGGAATGCAGTACAGACCGTACAGATAAAGCAGAGTAAACAGAACACAGACCTTATCAAAATAGTCAAAGAACAAATCTACTGCAACTCCAGACTATTTATACCACCCTGTAATGGGATTGCTGCTTTCACAAAGCAGTACACCTGGAAAAAGCCAGAGTAAACACCAAAGTACCTATTCTGAAAGGTCCAGAATTTGCAAACTCTCAACACCTGAAATATTGTTAATCTGTAGAGGAGTGGACATATCAGTTTCCAGTGGCAATCTCACAGGGCATTATTTGCGTTGCACCAGCTCACAGCATTTCTTAGTCTCATCCTGCACCGGTCAAAGCTTTCTTCTCCATTCTAACACATGCACAGCCCCTGGGAAAGAGAAGTTATATGCTAGATGGATTTTTTTGACTACTCTCTTTGTATAGGGAGGCAACTTGACTAAAACTGGTCGCAARTTAAGAAAATGTTTTCATTTCATAAAATGCCACATCTCACAGTGGAAGGAAGCAACCAGTCCCAGTTGTAGCCAGTAGGCCATTTCTGAAGGCAAACAATGGAATCTGCGTTCTGAATCAGTTTGAAAGAGCTTTCCCATATCACAAGTACTACCTGTAAACACCCATGACTAGAGTGTTCTGTGTTGCAAGGTCTTTTATTGTGTTGCTAGAGACTGTCTGCCTGGTTTTGGACAGTGATCAGTAATTTCGTCAATCACTGCAAAAACAGGAGGTCAATATCTTGGCTTAAGAAAAGGTTTTTTTTACCCAGTAAAATAATGCTTTGTTATAGTACTTTCTTATTTCTGAGAAATCACAGCCTTGAGATGCTTAATGTTGCCATCAYGTGTAGGTCATTTGTCCTCTTTTAAACTGTTGTATTAGAGGCTTTTTTTACATTTTTTTAGTAAGAGCTACTGTTGTGTGGTTTCAGAGACAGAAATGTTTTTCGGAAGATTTAAATTTATAGCTGTCTTTGGCTATAGGGCAGTTTTGTTGCCGAAGGAAACCAGTAATAGAAGCTAGAAGAGCAACAGGCTAATCATGTGAAGCCTTCCTGGTAAGAAAATCTGGTTGGATCCACCGCATTTCAGTCAGTCTCTCCCTAGCAGTATTGGATGGAGTTKTCTTATCACTTGGCTTTCCTCAGGAACATGAAAACTTATATCCAGAGTGACAGAGACACATATTCTAAGTCATGGTGCCTACAGAGTACATTTTGCATTCCAGTCTCAATGCCTAACTAAAAGTAAAGGTTTTATGTGTATATATATATATATATATATGTACATACACTATGAAGGTGGTATTCTCCTTTGGTGTGTGGAGATGTGGTCATGGCTGTTGGCTGTCTGCCATGTCAACAGGTTGATTTGTATTTCTAAGTAAATCCAGTCCTTGGGTAAACAGTTGAGATATAGACAGTAGAATTATTTTGAATTCTGTAAGCACCAGTAGTCATAACTACGACTGTTTGTTCAAGCAGCTTGTCGGCTGGTTATAGTGGCTTGTTCTAATCTATCAGACTATTGTGAAATACTTTACTCAGTTAATGAATYGAGACTTGCACAGTCCTGAGGTTGAACAGTCTGGTTTTTCACTGCTTGSTGATTCAATCATGCTGTGGTGAGCTGCCATATCAAGTTTTACAGAACAATTAATTGAAGGATTCATGACTCTCCCATTTGACATCAGATATGTTGTCTTACGTTGATTTTTGCAGGTAGTGATTCAAAGAGTTTGCTGTGCAACAAACATGCAGGAGAAGTAGAATGTAAACATCCTAGTGACAATTGCCCAGTTCTAACCATGCTTTCTTCCTAATATATCATGAGATAAATTTTAGTTCCGTTTTCCATCAGATTTTCACATCTTTGCTACAGTAACTGCAAGCAYTCACTTCCAAAGGCACAAGGTGACCTTTCTTGTCTTGGTTAATGACTGTCCAGCTAACTTTCATTCATAACAGAGGTCCTTAAGAAGTATTAAAGACATTTACATGAATATAGAGTTCATTAAGAGCCATGCTATGACTAGATCTATTAGACTGCTGTGATGTCTGGTTTACACTGATGCCTTTATGTGGTTAGCAGAAGGTGCTGCTTGTACATCAAGAATAAACGTTGGTAGGATGATTGGCAGTAATTACTGTCATACTTCAGGGCAAGCAAACAATGTCTTGCAGTATCTAGTAAGAAACAGTGGAGAGAAGTATCTGGATGCTTAAAAATTTCACATTTTTGTATATGATGCAGTATATGATGTAATTTTCTCTAAAATGTGTTCCTTACTGAAGAAAAAGTGGTCAAACCTTTCTAATAGGCAAARTATAGCTGTATGTGTCTTAAAGTTTAAAAAAAATGCTTATGATAAAGAACCTTTCATAGAKTAGTTAAAAAAGACACCAAAAAGGAAACAAAAAAAAAAATAAAAAAGCCCTTTATGTTATATTTGGAGCAGTGTTCCTGACGTATTATAGTGATTTTACACTGAAAATTATGTATTTTCTATGATCACAGACTGAAGGTTTTATGTCCCAGCAAAAGGAGCTTAAAGAAAACATGGAAAGAATGTATAATTATTTAGCTTCTCTAAACTTGTACTCAAGGCGCTTGCATTTATCTGATCTCCCAAATAAGCCACAAATCTTGCTGAGAATTAGTTTTATCTTTTATGTGGCCAACATTCCAGCCTTTTGGGTAACATCTTTTTGCCCCAGAATTTCATTCTATTTAAACAACTCACTTTTTGTATCCTCCTGGTAAAGTTAATAATTAAATAAGCCAACTGCATAAGCCTAAATGTATGTGTTATGTATGTGTGTGTGTATATATGTATATATGTATATATGTATATATGTATATATGTATATGTATATGTATATATACATAGAGTTTTCAAATTTGGCTGTAAATCCACAGCAAGGATATGGAAACCTCTAGGTCCTAGAAGAGCAAAAGGCTTCCCCGTTACTTTAGGGCTGATGTCAGCCCAGGTGGCAGTGGCATCCTACACTGGTAGATGTTCAGCCAAGACAAGCTGAGTGTGTGGGCTTAGACACTTGAGCTGGGTAGTGCTGAGAGCCAAGGCACTGAAAGTTCGACCACTAATCCTGGCAGGTTGGTGCTTATGCATTAGACCCCTATTTTAGGAATGGTAAAAGGACTTTCATGTATGGATGCAGGCTATCTTAAGACACTTTTTGCAGATAGACAAAGACTTAAGTTTACTGACATAGCCAGTTTCACATATCTTATTCCATCCTCCTGTCTTGATGAATCTGAGAATTTAGCATGGTGGCTGTTGTGAATCTCAACATAGGAAATAAATCTTAGGGAACCAAAAACAGTCAAAAATTCCTTCAGCCTCAGCCAGTATGGAAACACAAATGATAATAAATTGTCCTTGGTCTAAATATATTTACCTGAAGATGTTAATAGAAACTAAATTGATTTAAAAAAAAAAAAAAGCCATAAAGCTTAATAATTATTAACAAAAATTTACTTAGCTGTAGTGCAGAAGAAATGGGAAATACTTTTCCAACCATCCTAAATAGCATGAAGGACATGCAAAAGCCCTTTACTATTAATAAGAATGTTCAGCAACTGACTTCATTTTTTTTTYCCAGCAAATATGGAAAAACTAATCAAGTAATAATGCATAAAGGCCAGATCAGTTCATCACTGCCTATTCCAAACAGGAGTAATTATATTAAAGAGTGAAACATGGAATGAATGTAGAAATGGCAGCTTGAGGTTAAACGACTGAGTCACTGTTAGTGGATGTTTTGTTAGATCATTTTGCATTTGACAAGAATGAATGTTGCTTCAACAAAATTGATAAACAGGCAAAAAACAGGC